AATCTATTTTTTATTAAAAAAACAGAGGAGTAACTAATCTATTTTTATTAAAAAACAGAGGAGTAACTAATCTATTTTTTATTAAAAAAACAGAGGAGTAACTAATCTATTTCTAAATATTAATGAATTTTTTGGTCAAATTATCATTTGTTTTTATTTCGGTTTGTTAACCTGTGTAATCTATAAGTAGATAGGATGTAAACTTAACTCTAGAGAAGGCATGTAGAATTTTAGACAACACTGATATTGCAACACAGTGTTGTCAGGGTGATCACTACACTGTGTTGCTACAACACTGTGTTACTACAACACTGTGTTGCTACAACATTGTGTTGCTACAACACTACACTGTGTTGCTACAACACTGTGTTGCTACAACACTGTGTTGCTACGGGACACACTCACACTGTGTTGCTACGACACTACACTGTGTTGCTACAACACTGTGTTGCTACAACACTGTGTTGCTACAACACTGTGTTGCTACAACACTGTGTTGCTACAACACTGTGTTGCTACAACACTACACTGTGTTGCTACGACACTACACTCACTGTGTGGCGTCTCAGAAGAGAAAAATAAGGCTACAAGACATATAGTTGGACTTATATCAAAGAAGACTCTTTAATATACACTTTTCTAAGTGTCTGAGAAACCTACATTTAAAATTGTTCCTGTTGATGTTGGTTTATAGGGCTACTGACAACTTACACCGTAGTCCTTGGTGTATTTGTCATTGTTGATGTTGGTTTATAGGGCTACTGACAACTTACACCGTAGTCCTTGGTGTATTTGTCATTGTTGATGTTGGTTTATAGGGCTACTGACAGCTTACACCGTAGTCCTTGGTGTATTTGTCATTGTTGATGTTGGTTTATAGGGCTACTGACAGCTTACACCGTTTGGTCCTTGGTTTTATTTGTCTTGTTGATGTTGGTTTATAGGGCTACTGACAGCTTACACCGTAGTCCTTGGTGTATTTGTCGTTGTTGATGTTGGTTTATAGGGCTACTGACAGCTTACAAACCCTAGTCCTTGGGGTATTTGTCTTTTTTGATGTTGGTTTATAGGGGTACTGACAGTTAACAACCGTAGTCCTTTGGGGTATTTGTCTTGTTGATGTTGGTTTATAGGGCTACTGACAGCTTACCACCGTAGTCCTTGGTGTATTTGTTTGTTGATGTTGGTTTTAGGGCTACTGACAGTTTACACCCTAGTCCTTGGTGTATTTGTCATTGTTGATGTTGGTTTATAGGGCTACTGACAGTTTACACCGTAGCCTTTTGTATTTGTATTTTTGAGTTGGTTTATAGG